AACCAACTTTTTTAGTTGAAACAGCTGACTAAATGCTTTAATTCCCTTTACATATGAATACTCATAAGGTTAACATGGGGAACTGCAGAGCCACTGGGGCGGAGCCCGAAAGGATTTTTGAGATAATAATATATCTATATGTTAATCGGGAATATAAGCTATCATCATGCCAAATTTCAGCCCAATCCGTCCAGTAGTTTATGCGTGATTGAACTTCAAACAAACAAACAAACAAATAAACAAACAAACACACAAACTTTCACATTTATAATATTATATATAGTAAGTAGTAAGATAAGATAAGATAAGATTGATAGTGAGTTCTTTTTTTAAATACTGTATTATGTAACGCACAGAACGTTACAATCCAATACCATAATTTACAACAGCTTATTTGTTGGCTATTTACACATAATTTCTTATTTTTGTTTTCTTTTTTTCTGTTGATTCTTGTGTCAATGACATTATTTAAGACAAACTACCGTGCTAGGTGTAACAGGATGTATAGTTTCCTGTTAAGTCAGGAAGGAATCCCTGAATCCCTCCCTTTGAATTATAGTGTTTTGCCGACAGAACTTTGAATTACTGCGTGTTCCAAATCGGCCTTCCCTCTGCTTGGCTTGGACTTTGATATACCAAGTGTATCAAAATGATTTGTAAAACTTTGAAATATTAAAAAATTCTCTACAGACTGAGCTTATATTTTTAATTATGAAAAGATTTGATTTATCGAATGTTTGAATTACCAAGAGTGGACTATATATGATAAACAAATAGCAAAGAATTTAATGTCCATGAGAATAACATTGGAATTTTAAGGCTTTTAGGGTGTAACTCATTTGGTAAAATCATTATGAAAACTATATAACTATCCTATTTTTGATATGAATATTGAGTATACCAAATTTCAGCCTTCGAGTTAGCGGAGAATTAGTCGAGTGGTTATTTGACTGAGTGGAATTGTCCATGGTTCAGTTATAAGGATTCAATATTTTAAAGTATCTAGTGCATTACAAAGTTAAATTTTACATGCATGCAGTAAAAACATTGGGGAAGTACTATTCTAGTTACTGAATAATCAATCTTTGATTTTATTTTTGTAAATAGTTTGATATTTAAAAATTAAAGTACTCACTTTTCAGTATGTAGAAAAGCACATGTTTTGAAGCTCATATTTAACTGTATAGAACATCATTATGGGCACTGCACCAGTAAAGTTAGTGTAAAAATCAATTTTTACTTGTAAATAAATAAGTTGAAAACTCAAAGAGATATTATTTTACTCAGAAAGACTCTATGAAAACAATAAATATTAGTCAGTTTGGTTAGAGTAGTAATTTCCTGGAGAAACATTAAAAACAAACTGATCTTTTTCACTGGCAACTACAGACTACAAAGTTCAGGTCTGTTATCTGAGCTGGACTACATAAACTGACAACAATAGATTCGTTACTGACTACCTGTAAAGTCGAGTTATTTATGATTATAGTAATTAATTTTTGAGCTGGAGCTCAACATTGTTGCCGATTTCAAAACAAGGATATTTAGTTTTACTGAGAGTAAATCAATCAATACAAATCAAAGAAGATTAATTAAAATACATGAAAAAAAAATTAAAATAAGCTTATTCAACAGATAAACAGGCTCCGTTTTTTGCAAAGGTTTCTGTGGTTATTGGTACCATAAAAGATGAATGAAGGATATGACGGATATGCAATTCCGTGAAATCTGCAAAGAGGGTACGCAACACAAATGGAAATGTTATAACTGTAAGAAATCTGAAACTAATCAAGAAAACAAGTCAATAGATGTTGTAAAAGAAACAATCAAAAATCTTGACATTAACATCAACTCAAATGAGGACCTGGAACGCTCACTTAAAATTGCAGCAGAGGCTGGCAATTTGTTGTTAACGGAGAATGAAAAGTTAAAACAAGAACTACACAGCATGAAGTTATCCAAAACTGAGTATCAGAATAGATTAGAAGATAGACTAAAAAAGCTATGGAGGATCAAATAAATAAATCTAAGTTAGAAAAAATAAAGGCAGTTAATATAACAGATGAGATAAAATTTTTGAAAGATAAATGATCAAAGAGTGATGAATTTAGAAATAACTTGGCTTCACAGTTGGATAGTGAAAGAACAGAGTGCAAAAACAAAACAGAGGATTTATTACTACAAAAGGCCCATCTGAAAACAAAACTTATGGAACTGGAGAAAACTGCAACACTAACTGAGAGACAAACTGACAAACTGCTATGGGTCCTTGATATACAATATTAAGCATGATCTTTCGGACCATAATGTTCTAATTATGTCTCTTCCTAAATTCCCTAATAAAAAGTAAAGTAAAAGCTCCCAGAATTTATAGAAGATTTTTTTCAACAGACAACTCAGAGAAATTTTTGATCGTACTACATCAAAAGCTATCTAGTTTTACTCTTTTAGAATCGTGCAATAGTAGTTATGATAGTTTTCTAAATTTATTTCTGACATCCATGCATGAGTGTTTTCCATTAAAACTATTCATAGAAAGGAAAGAATCCAAGGCTTTATGGGTCAACGATGAAATAATGAGGTTAGCTCATAAGAAGAGGTTATTACATGTTAAATTTAAGGAATTTAATGATGAAAATTCAAAGTTAAAATACAAAAAATGTAGGAAAGAATTTAAAACTTTAGTAAATAAGAGTAAAAGAACAGAAAACAATAATTTCACTGTCAATGCAAGAAATAGAATGAGGGCCACCTGGTCTGTAGTCAAGAAAGAAATAGGAATTGAAAAAGACGACAAATTTGTGGATGTGCAATTAGAAGTTGAGGGTAGTTTAATACTTTAATACTTTGTTAGATGATCCAAGGGTCATAGCATCTTGCTTCAACAATCACTTTATAAACACAGTAGATTTTTTAATTTTCCCGGCCCCGTCTTTCACAGACATCAATTCCCCATCAGCTTTGTCATTTCCAGTGTTGATGGACCTTTGCCCAACACAGGGCTCAGAAATAGGCAAAATTATACAGAGCCTAAGCAATTCTGGCTCTGTTGGTTGGGATGAGGCTCCAACAAGGTTAATTAAACTGTCCCAGCACTTAATAGCCCCGGTTGTTGGATTAATAGTTAACCAATGTTTTTTGTCAGCTCAATTTCCAGATAAACTTAAACTATCAGAAGTAAAACCAATATTTAGGAAAGGAAAAAGAACAGATATTAATAATTACAGACCAATTTCTATTTTAAGCAACTTTGCAAAAATCTTTGAAAAAGCAATTAATTTCCGCTTTACAAATGACTTAGAACAGAACAATCTATATTCACAATCACAATTTGGATTCAGGAAAAATAAATCAACCACAAAGGCATTAACTAAGTTTGTCAACATGGTCTCTGAGGCGCTGGATGAGGGGCAGAGTACTGCTGGGGTGTTCTGTGACTTATCCAGGGCATTCGACTGTGTTGACCACAAACTAATTATTTGCAAACTGAAGAAAGTAGGGATTGTTGGTCAGGTATTGCAACTTCTCTCAAACTGCCTATCAAATAGAAAGCACAGTAGTTTATAAAGATGGCCACAGGTTCTTGTCCGGATGGAATAATATCAGGTACGGTGTTCCTCAAGGTTCCATCCTGGGGCCAACACTATTCTTAATATTTATTAATGATATAGACTGTAATATATCAGACAAACTCTTCTTATATGCAGATGACGCAAATGTTATATTAACAGGTTCAGTCCCAGCCGGCACACTCCTCTGTATATTGCGTCTCTCATCACGTGGGAGTGAGTGTGTTAACAGGTTCAGTCCCAGCCGGCACACTCCTCTGTATATAACGTCTCTCATCACGTGGGAGTGAATGTGTTAAAAGCCCCAAAAAATACATCAATTGGAAATCATTGTTCTGAAATCAATAAAAGAACTAAAGGAATGGTTCTCTCAAAATGGACTACCGGTACTGTTAAATAATTCAAAAACAAAAATTATGCAATTTAAGGGGAAAAACTCTTCAAATTCATTAAATAGCAGCCTATTAATCCCGACAGATTCACACAAAGTATTAGGAATACATATTGATTCAAAATTAAATTGGGGAGATCATTCAATATCTAACAAAAAAATTACTTTCTTTTCACTATGCAATAAGTGTTACAATTGATGCAACATCTCTGGAAGTATGTAAATTAGTATATTGTGCCTATATTGATTCTATAATAAGGTATGGTATAGTACTCTGGGGATCCAGTCCCAAAACAAAAAACTTAACGCACAAAAATCAATTGTACGTACCGTGTTTAAAGTGTCAAAGAAAAAAAAGTTCTAGACTCATTTTAAAAGATAAGGGATTTTAACCATCACAAGTATGTACATTTTTGAAATGATTAAACTATTAATTAACAATATAGATAATTTCGAAGAGTTTAAATTTACACATAATTATTCCACACGTCAGAAACATTTATATCAATTCCCAATACATAGACTAACTCTTTTTGAACGTACACCAAAATACATGGCTATAAAAATGTTTAATAAACTACCAAAAAGAATCACCAACAATCCCAAAAAACATACTCCTAGAAAAATCACGAGTTATTAATTGAAAAGGCATATTATAAAATAGAAGATTTCTATTCTGATGTTTTCTAAACGGACAAGAATTAATTTAATTTTTAAACTAAATTCACGTTGAATGCATACCTCATGGCTTTCATTAATTTTAGCAGGATTTTATCTTATTTGTTGTTTTTTGTAATGGTAACTTTTACTTGATGTCAGTATTAATAATTTTTGAGTTGTGTGAATTTATTAGTTATAGTATTTTTTTTTAAATTTTATTATGACGACACTCCTATCCTTGTACGTTGTAATTTGTAAGATGTTATGAGTGAATAAAGAATTTGAAATTTGAATTTGAATTAGTGATAAATCAGAGTGAGTCAGTCAGTGAGTGAGTTATTTCAGTTATTTGACATTTGTATGTTTATATTTCTTCTCACCTGTGTTTCCCCAGGTTCTGGAAAGCCCTTGACTTCTTTCTCGATCCCTGCAGAGAGGTCTCGACCTGACTTCTTTCCCTTCTTCTTCAATCGTCCTCTCCTGCGAGGTAGACTCTCGTCTTCTCCTACTGTAGGCGGAGGCAGACTCATCATTGCAGGCTGAACATCGTTAGAAAGATCATCATCAGGCCCGTTTTTGACAATGTCAGCGCCCTAGGCACAACTAATAGTAGCGCCCCTTTGAAATATACAGGGTGTCCCGTAAGTAAACAGCCAAACTCCAGGAAATGGTTCTATGGGTAAAAAAACAAAAATCAAGAATAACATTTTTTTTTTAAATGGCTTCGTGAACCAGATTTTCGTCATTTTGTTTTTTTTTTCACATGAAATTTTTATCTTTAAAGATTTTCAAGTGATCATTATGAAACTTGGTATGTATGTTAAGGTAACAGACACCCATGTTAGAAAAAATCATTTTGATTCATCATAAACCTTCAAAATGGAGGCCATTTTAATTTTTTTTAGCTTAAATAAAAAAAAACGGCAGATTTTATGAGAAAACGATAAGAACATTTTTATTTGGAATTTTAAATTCCCTATCAAACGATACCAAGCTCAATAAAATTGAATAAGAGATAGCTGAAGTATCACGATTTTTAGTTGTAAAATGGGACAAACCTGACTAGCTTAGCATTTTTCAACTCCATTTTTTAAATTACAAAAAAAATGGCAGATTTTATGAGAAAACGACAAGAACATTTTTATTTTGAATTTTAAATTCCCTATCAAACGATACCAAGCTCAAAAAGATTAAATAAGACATAGCTGAAGTATCACGATTTTTAGTTGTAAAATGGGACAAACCTCACTAGATTAGCCTTTTACTACCCCATTTTACAACTAAAAATCTTAATATTTCAGCTATTTCTGATTCGATCTTTTTGAACTTGCCATCGTTTGATAGGGAATTAAAAATTCCAAATAAAAGTGATTTAGTCATTTTTTAATAAAATCTGACATTTTTTAGGAATTCGAGTTTAAAAAATTAAAATAAATGGCCGCCATTTTAAAATTGTATGATAAGTCAAAATTATTTTTTTACATGGGTCTCTCTCTATATCATCTATACCAAGTTTCACAAAGATCGATTGAAAACTTTAAAGATAAAAATTAATAGATAAAGATAAAGATAAAGTTAATGTGGAAAAAATTAAATGGCAAATATCTGGTTGATGATGCGATTTTAGAAAAAAATTTTATTCTCGATTTTATTTTTATATTGACCCCTAGAACCATTTTGAAATACCCTTAGAGTTTGGCTGTTTACTTACGGGAAACCCATATAAAAGGGTGACCACCACCGGGTAATCCGGGAATTATGCATGAATGTTGTATTTCTACCTGGAATTGTCAATTTACCACGATCGCGCATGACAACAGTGACCTTTACATGACCGCGGGAGACGATAATATGTCTACACACGGCCGAGAGGGATGATCAGAATATTACCGTGATCGCAGAAGACGATGATGATCTTCACACGACTGCGGGATATGGTCAACATTTTGCCGCAATCGCGGGAGGCAATTACGACGTCTTCACGACCGCAAGAGGCGATTACGATCTCTACATTACCGAAGGAGATACCCGCGATCGCGCAAGACAATAATAATGTCCACACGACTGAGGGAAAAGATCAGAATTTTGACTCATTAGTGGTAGACGACGATAATCTCTTCACGACCGCGTTATATGTTCATATATTGCCACGATCATGGAAGACAATAATTTATGTCTACACGACCGTGGGAAATATTTAGAATGTGCCGCGATCGCGGAAGACGATAATGATGTCTATACGGCCACGAGGGATTATCAGAGGTTTACCGCGATCGCATGTAAATACAATTACAAAATATTTTTTATTTTCCAATTTTTGGCGCCCCTAAAAAAATCAATTGCTTAGCGCCCTAGGCACGTGCCTACCGTGCCTATTCGGTAAATCGGCCCTGATCATCATGTCACCTCTTGACTATGGAATGTTTTTTACTCAAATGAGCCACTTATCTCTGAAGTGTTCGTGCTTTTGGTCTGTATAGAGTTCACATTATTTATTACCATATGTTACAAATAACAAGATTGTTTACTTTTTTTTGTGAGTTAGTTTTTACATGATTAAAGTCAAGTTTTGTTTTACTAAGTTGTACTTTTTAATTGTATAAGTGAATACACGTCATTGGCGACGAGGAATTAGAACTCACACAATGCCGACATCAGGTAGACATAGACGACATCAAGACGATCCAGGTACCGATCAAGTTCGTAATGAAAAAAGTATTTGTAATTTTAAATGTGACTTGTTCGACCCAGACACAGTAGAGATTGATGTGTGGCACATTAAGTTTACTACAGGTCTTAAACTCAATGGAATTAACGATGATGAAACCAAACGCTTGCTATTCATAAAAGCTTTGGGTAGAAATGTGTTAAGCACACTGGTTAACGTTTGTAGACCTAATGATTTAAATGACTTTAAGTATGAAGAACTTTTTAAACTATTGTTGGACAATTTTAAAACTAAAAAAATCGCTATTGCAGAAAGAGTCAAGTTTTTTTCACTGCGTCAGGGCTGCGAGAGTCTGACGGAGTTTGCCAATGTTTTGAGGAATAAAGTAAATGATTGACAATTTCCCATTCAATTTTTCCAACAAGCACTTGTTACCGCTTTTGTAATGGGGATATGTGATAACAATATAAGATCCAAACTCATGGAGAAGGATTATGAAACGTTTTTAGAAGTCATTAACGTAGCTAATACTCTTTTCTCAGTAAAAGATGCTTCATTAAATAGTTAAATACTATTATTATTAAACTATTATACTATTATAAAATAATAGTAGTCATTAAATAGAGGGAAGATTGTAATGTTTTATCTCTAGGACCATGCTTTATATGTGGTGGTAAACATCTGAAAAGGAATTGTAACATTAAAAATCCGTTACAAATGCGGGAGTAGGAATCACATAACTAGAATATGTAAAATGGGACAGGTGGAGAAACGACACCTTAAAAGCAACATTGTTGAGAATGGTGCAAAATCAAAGGAATCCGGTAGTAACGTTGTTGATAATGATGTAACTAGCTATAATGACACGAACTCTTTGGGAGGAATACAGGACGTTCTTTCAATCGGAAAGCAGGCAACGTTTTACCCGCTACTTATTCTTAATATCTTACTCAATAACTAGATCGTAAGGATGCAGTTTGATACAGGTAGCTGCGCTTCAATTATCTCAGATCATACTTGGAAACAGATAGGTAAACCCGACCTTTTGTTAAGTAAACAGAATTTTACTTCATTTACAGGTCATTGTGTTAAACTTCTTGGTTAGGTGGATGTAGAAGTTGTTTTCGCAAACGTTAAAACCAAACTCAGAGCTTTTGTCGCTTCGGGTGTCAAACAAAATATTTTGGGAAGAGATTGGATTTTACCTTTATTTCTCCACAAAATATCACTTTCCGATTTGCAAAGGATATGTTCAGAACCGTATAAACAAACCTTACAAGTAGAAAATACGAATCAACAACTTGCCAAACTTGTGGATGAGTTTTCTGACGTTTTTCAACCCAATGAAAATAAATGTTCAAAGACAACTGCTCATTTGAGCCTAAAAGAGGGTGCTACACCAGTGTTTAAAAAGGCGAGGCCTGTTCCTTTAGCTTTAAGGGACAAGGTTAAAGAAGAACTTGACCGGTTAAAAAGAAATGGTATCCTTGAAGAAATAGACCATTCAGAATGGGCTGCGCCATGCGTGATTGTAAGAAAACCGAATGGAGCTATTAGAATATGCGCAGATTTTTCAACGGGACTCAACCAAGCATTGTGCAGCAGTTTCCATTACCAACTCAAGACGATTTATTGACCAAGATAGGTTCTGGACAGAAATTTACTACCCTTGACCTCTCTGATGCTTACCTTTCTATTCCCATGGACACAGAATCTAAAAAACTCCTTGTCATTAATACTATTTTTGGTCTTATGCAATACAATCGACTGTGTTTTGGCGTAGCTCCTGCTACGGCAATTTTTCAAAAAAAGTTGCATTCTATGCTTTCTGGATTAGATGGAGTCGCTTTCCTACTGGATGGAGTGAAAATTTAAAAACGAACGTTTTCAGGAAAAGCACTTTGCAAATTTTGTTCCCCCTTTTTTCAAAACTTTTATTATTTTTTTTATTTCATTAACATTTGAAGTTTCATAAAATGTCCATGGTAACGCAATATCTTTGGTAGTTTTTTTTTTTAAAGAGCATCTTTAGTGGAAAAACACAAAATCCTGTCACGACCATAACAGACGTTTAAATGAATATTAAAAATAGTTAATATTATTTTTTAACTATGTTTTGCCATAAACTAATTTACTTTTATGACCATTATACAATAAAAAGATCACTGAGCTTTTGGCATATTTGGTCTCTCTAGAAAAAAATAAAAAAACTCAAAAAATTGAAAAAAAGCCAATAAAATCTTTTTAAGTTTGTATAACTCCGAAAAAACTTACCTGATACCCGAAAAATGGTTATGTTTGTATAGAGGTTGTTGTAGATTGAATGAATAAAACCATTATAAACGAAATTACCTTTAGTTAGGCTTTATTAAACATAGAATCTACCATGATATAGAACTAACAATATGAAACAAACTAACATCATAGTAAACAAAAACAACTTCTAAACATTTGAACAGATGTTACAATGTACAGATAGAAAGGAATTATATGACATTCTTCCCCTCCTAGCTGACATAGTCTTTTAGATACAAAGGCGGGTGTTTACTTCTGGAGCTTCTCCTTAGAGCAATCTGGTCCTGATTCAGTCTTTCCTCGTCTTGGAAGATAGGCTCAGGTCCAGCATCAACTTGAGAACTTCTTTCATTTATTTGTAGATTGGTGTTTGAGTCTTCTTCATGTCGTAAATTGGTGTTTGAGTCTTCTTCATGTCGTAGATTGGGATTTGAGTCTTCTTCATGTCGTAGATTGGAGTTTGAGTCTTCTTCATGATGTGACACTTCTCCTACAGGTGCTAATTGCCTGGAACTCACTGTAGTTTCACGGCCATCTGCATATCTTATGTGAGAATACTCAGGATTCCCCTCAAGG